CCCGGGGCCCCCCCCCCCCCCCTTCAAATCATGACACGGAACACATTCAGCCACCCAGGCAGGACGATACAGTCCTTGACGTCCCCATGACACACCAGTGCACTACTGGGTCACCCAACACCAGTGCCCAAGCCTCTTCCACTGGGCTGGACCACTGAAGGAGCAAGCCCAGAGCCTGCCTCTGCCCTCCAGTATGCTCCAGCACAGCCACGCTGTGTCCCCAGCACACAGGATTTAGAGGAGCATGGCCAAGAACGCTAGAGAATAAAGAACCAGGGACTTGCTTTTGCCGATGAAAGCGGCTACAAGCATTGGCCACCGATGGGAGCCAGGGGCTTCTCCCCTCCCAGTGACCTGGGGTGGCTGCTGCATGATGGGCACAAGATCTTGGAGGCTGCTCTGCTGCTCTTCCTGAAAAATTACTGGTTTTAAGCGCTGCAAAGGTCACAGCTCCCTTTTGAGTTGCTGCTAGTCTACTGCACGTTGAGCTTTTGCATGCTGAAAGCTTCTCACTGGCTCACGGCGGCAGAGGCTTCGCTCTGGGGTGCGGCCTGAAGGATATATGGCTCCAGGCTTCTCTTGCTCCATCTCCTGCTTGTCTTCACCTCCAGCCCAGGTGATGCCCAAGTACTGGTTCCTCCCTTTTAAGGAAAAGTTAACTCCTGAGCAATTCCATATGTGAAAGCAAAAGAGCAGAGCATTACTGCCTCTGCCAGGGCAGGGCCATGATTTCCCTAAGGGAGAGGGAAAGGATTCAGCATCTGCAGCAGCTGATGGAGGGAAGAGGAGTTGAGAGCATCCACAGCGCTGCCCGGGATGGGGACAGGACACACCGAGACAGAGAAAGCCATCTCAGAACAGGGTTTTGTGGGCCAGCCCTGCTGCCTTCACCCAACGACTGACTTACCCCTGCTCCCAGCACCAAGCACAGCAGCTCGGGGTGATGCGGGACCTCTTCAGGGCATCCTTGCAACCACCAGCGGCTACTGCTGGGCTAGTCCTGCTGCAGAGCAGGGTGCTGGGGAAGGGACCTGCAGTGCTGGCTCCACCACGCTTTCCCAAACACGAAAGCTGGGTCTGGCTCCAGAAGTCCCACCATCCCTCACCCCGGGGTAGATGTTTTCTGTTTAGCCTCAGCTGAGGCGTAGGAGAACCTGCTCGGTGCCGTCATCTTCTGCCCTCCCATCCCAACATCTTTTCCATCTCTTACTGCCCCGTGCTGTTGAGCCCATCTGCTGCCATCACCCAGCTCGGGGTATCCCTGGCCCAGGAATCTTCCCCAAATGACAGCAGGATTGTCCATACTGATGCTATACTAGGTAAACAAACAAAAAAAAGCTTGATAAAGCAGCACCATTAATTGCTAATGAGCAGCTGCCCTCCTTTGGGAAGGAGGGGGATCCCAGGCTGCTGCCCACTGCCTGCCTCACTCTGGGCTGGTTGAAGCCTAGGCCTGTTTCTCCATCGACTGTGGGACCTTTCGGAGTCCAGCGTTCACGTTGCGGGCAGCAAGCAGCGCTCCCCTCCCCGGTTTTTATGCCGAAGTACGTCCCTGCGGGGCTGGGGAGGGAGAAGGGGCACAGGAGCTGCGTTACCTGCATTTACGTACCTGTCAGCGTTTTGCTTTGGGGTTGGTTGGGGGTTTTTTTGGTTTTGGTTTTTTAAAGCTCTCATAATAAATCAGTCCAAGCCACCCACTTTGTCCTCTCACCTCACCCACTGGCATTCCCCTTCGCAGAGGGAGATGAGCCGGTCCCTGGCACGTCACACCTCGTACCCTGCAAACGGCACCAGCACCATCCCTGACCCTTCTTAGGAGCCTGTTCAAGACCTCTGAGCAAGGACGACCCAGGACAGACAGACAAGACCAGGCTGGAAGCAAGAGCTGGAGCTTAGGGAGGGTCATGGAGAAAGCTGGAGCCCACAGCCACCCCACTGCTGGCTCTGTCCCCGGGGCACGGTGGTGGATCTCCCCTGCTGGAACAGAGAACATCATGGAGATCTGTCCTGCTCTGCTCCCAGGGACGCCAGCTCCAACTGAGCCATTGCCGGTGCCCAACGCCCACCACGTTGAGAGCCAGCCTTGGTGCGGCCATCACCCCAAGACCATTGCTAACCTGGGTGGTGGGCCTGGAGGGGCCCGGAGAGGCGACTGAAGGCTCATTTAAGGAGAAACAAGCTTGTTTCCGATTTGTACAAAACTGCTTTAATGACAAAACAGCTGAAAAATACTTTTTGGTGCATTTCTAGTACTATCAAGAAGCCCGAGTGCCTTCCGGGCCCAGGATCACCCACTGCCTGGAAGGGCAAGAGGATCTTCTCAGGCATCTTCTCCCAGTGCAACATGTCCCAAGGGAGGAGTCTGTCCTCGAGGCCACACAGAAACCCCCTTCAAGACCTCCACTAAAGACAATTTTCCTCCCAGCCACACACACACGGGCTGGAAATACCTCCGTGAAGTGCTCTGGCGTTGAGGCTCCTTCTTGGTTCAGGAGTGCTTCTGTGGCCACCACCCTTCCCATCACTGAAGCCTTGTTGGCACCCCACCAAGGGAGCCAGGCAGCAGCAGGAGCTTCAGCAAGTGATGCTTCCAGACCGGAGCCAGCTCAGCCGAGTCCCTGAGACACCGGATAACGCCCCGACGAGCGCTGAACCCAAGGGGAGGGTTGGAGAAAGCAGAGTCCAAACCTCAGCAACCACTGGGCGATGGGGCGAAGAAATACACAGCCAGGAGGATGAAGTAAACCATCACCAGCACCGTGCCTAGGGCAGACAGAGCAGGTTGGAGGGGGTTACTCCCTGGAGCAAGGAGGAAGGTTTCTTTTAAGACCTTCTGGTATGGTATGGTCTGGACTAGCCCACTGTAGGAGGACTTTCATGGTCCTCTGCAAAATCTCCGTCAAAAGGGGTTTAAAACTCCCTCTTAAGGGTGAAAAGGGAGTGATTCCCCCTTGGAGCTGCTGCAGGGTGGCAGCTCCAGTGCTTCTAAGATGGTCAAACAAGACCCCGGAATTGCTCAAGCCACCACATGCCAAGAGCCAAAGCAAGCAGATGACCCCAGGGCTGTCTCCAGGAGCCCCCCACCCCATCAGCACAGGGAAGGTGGGTACACCAAGTCCCAGGGCAGCCTCACAGGTGAGCGGGGTCACCTTGGAAGTAGTCACATTTGCCATCCATGAAGATGTAGTTCATGAGCACCACGCTGAACATGCTGGCGTAGACGTGGAGGTCGCTGAAGACAAGCGTGAAGTTGGTCGGCTGCAAGGCAGAGAGGATGTTGGGTTTATGGCCAACCAGGACAGCCCTGCACTGATTGTGGTTGGGGACTTGCATGTCACCCCTTAAACCCCCTCTGTCCCACGTCCCTAGGGCTGGGGACAGCACCAGCCAAGGTAGGAAACATCTAAGCCCACTTTCCCCTGGGCTGAGCAGAGGGGACACTAAGGACGGTGGCTGCGCCCTTGCCACATCTCACGGAGTGCTGTGTGTCCCCAGCCCTGCTGCAGGAGGTCACCCAGGGGCTGTCCTGAGGCTACTCACGTAGAAGATGGTGAAGAGCACCAGGATGGGGATCTGGAGCATGCAGACCTGGACGGCGATGCAGTTCCCAATCTCGATGCTGGGGAGGACAGAAGACTTAAGAGCTGTTGAGCGCCACATCTCCAGCAGCCCTTGGGTTGCCCACCTTGGGGAACCAAACCATGCAGCCCAACCTGGTTCTGGCCCCATTTTTTGGGTGGCTTTAAGTCCTCTTGAGGGCAAGTTGGCAGGGATCTGACCCACCCGTGGCATGAAGCTGGGCTTCACCAGCACCAAGGTACAGCTATGGGACTGGGAGAGGGCACAGGGACCACACTGGAGGAGGACACCCCAAAACCCATCCTTTGAGCCATCTCACCTCAAGCTCAGGTTGTTCTGCAGGGCAAACTGGATGCCATTGACGATCTCCGGCAGCTCAGGCACCATCGCCAGCACAGTGACACCGATGAAGTACTGCAGGAAGAGGTCACATCAGTGCACATGTATGGCCTGATCCTGATCACATCCAAGCTGTGGGCAACCAAGCTCCTTGGTGCACGGAGCATCTCAGCATCTTTCCCCCGGCTTTTGGGGCTCAACCCCGCAGCCAGGGCAGGTTCCCATCCCTGGAGGGCACATCTTGGTCCCCAGGGCCACCCAAACCTGGCTCACCACCATCCCCATGCTCACCTGCGAGATGGTGGAATTGGTGAGGATGGGGCTGATGTGCTCCGTGGCCAGGTCAGCACAGGCTGACATGCAGAGGGTGGAGAGCAGGAGGATGACTAGGGCCCGCCAGCGAGACCAGTGGACCACAGCACTGTGGTGGTGGCCAGGCACTGGGGGAAGAGGAGAGACATGGTGGGACACCCCGGGGCAGGGAGAAGACCGGCCCCACAGCCGGGGCATCCCGTGGTTTGGGGACACTCACTGTGACAGTCGCTGATGTGGATGTCGTAGATGTGCGAGTGAGTTTTCAGGGTGAAGAAGAGGCCGATGAGGTAGGCGGCAGGGAGCAGGAGGGACACTGTGTACACCAGGGGTCTGTGGGACATGGGTGACATGTTCAGTGCCACTGGGGTCTGGTGTGGAGACCCCGGGGGGGTCCCCTGCACCGGCTGGGGATGGAAGAGATGAGGGTGCAGGATTGGAGCCCTTCAGGGGGGCAGAGAGGGGACCTGGGAGGGATGCGGGGCCACAACCCAGCCCCAGAGGTGCCACCCCACTGTGGGGACCACGCTGTCCCCACCCCAGCAGACACTCACTGGACGTGACTGTAGTAGAGGGTGCCGTTGTTCTCCATCTGCAGAGAGAACGCTGGTCAACAGGGATGGAGGGGACAAGGGACAGCCCCGCTGCCACTGCCCAGAGCAGGAGCTAGGTGGGCTCAGAGCATCCCCAGCTCCAAACCTCAGGGGTCGGGGGTCCGTGCCCCCGCTCACCAGGTCAAAGTGACAGTTGTGGCAGAGGTAGTGGCCCAGTGGGTTCTGGGTGACGTTGTGGCACTCCCCCCCACCCAGCGTCCCAT